AAATAAAAACTCGCGATAATCAACGGGTCCAACGCCTTTCTAATCAATGTATATATTTTCCGAATCCTGTTAGACTTATAGTTATTGTTAGAAATCTGGTAAGTATATCGAAATTCCGTCCAAAATAGTCACGAAAATCTAAAGTTTAATCCTGTTTCAGTTTTAGTCTGTGGATTTCCTAATATCCAAAACCAAAAGATATCGACAGCACATCTTGTAGAGATTTCATATAACTAGGGTGATAAGTAAGTGATCTCTATGCTGTTCTGAGCTATTATTATCATTTATGGTTGGAAAAAAATATCAGTGCCTAGCATTATACTTTAATATGTTAAACTAAATAAATATTAGAAAATTATAAATATAACAACGAACTCGTTTACATCAGCGTACGTAACTACGTATTCAAATACGTCAAGTGAAATACAATTTCGAATAAATCTTGACCTCGATCATGTTTGTTTTATTTCGGTTGTTATTGTGGTCGTTAGTTTATATTTGAATTTCACTAGAAGTCCCGAATGGCTGACGAGAAGCAAATACCCTTTGCGCCGTATCCAGTTTTGATTTTCCATTGTTATAATATTGCTTTAGCTTCGTAAACAGAGTACAATGAAAGCTGAAAGCATCCTGGCGGCTTGATTTAAAGAAATATTAACAACGATTTTAAAATGACAGTTGATTTAAAAATTAAATTTATGTTTAAATTAAGTATTTTATTAATATTACACGTACCTAGCTGGTGTCATTAATTATTACAACATTCATCTCTTTTTAATTGTATTAAAGTAACTAACATACAGTAATCATTTTTTTATGGTAGAGAAGAACAGAGATGCTTCAAATTCACTTGATGGTAGATCGAATATCCCAAAATGCCTTGTCAGCCTATATTGGCTTTGAATATTCGGCATTCAACTGACTAAACTTCACGGTTGAAAGTTTTTGACAGTTATAAATTGTTAAAAAACATGTTAGACCCGATGGCGATCGAACCCACGACCCGTTGATTATTTAAGAATGGGTTAATGCAGTAACAGAACTCTATACATTGAGAAAGTTTTCTATAATCGACTCATAGCGACTCCTCTGGCGAACGAGCGAGGTTTTAATAATAGAGTTTCGTACATAACCTTTGGGTACAGCGCCCCAAGCAGGATATCCGAAGTACTTTGTTGCCGTTGTGTTTTCTTCCGAGCGTTACTGGTACTTAGTGTCAAGTACCGTCTTGTACTTGGGCAACCTGAGTAAATCCCTTACATCTGTTAAGCGCTTAAGCAACTGACCGCAGCGCTTTGTCAGCGGTCGACCCTAATCTAGATGAGCGCGTAGATTGTAAACACGAGTGTCAATGTCTAGCGGATCAAAAGGCCTTGCACTTCGGTTAGTACTTTCAAGGTACAGTCGGCATAAACAAATTGATAGTAAAAATACACAGCTCAAGTATACGACTAAGAGATTCTCTGTAGTTTCGACTTTGTTTTTTTTACTATCTTATTTAATAGTGATTTCTATTATGCTTATTTTAATTTTTGTTTACATAAAATTATGGTTATATATACTGTCTATAGTTTACGCGAGTAGTGCACATTTAAATAAAACACTTTAACGGTTGAAAACGCGATATATTAGTTAAACTTATTTGGTTAAAAATGATTTTTACCCAAATAAGTTTAACTAATATATGGCGTTTTCAACTTATAGTGTTTTATTTAAATGTATTACTTTTACTGTTAATTCATTATGGGTTTATATTATTTTTGTGTTTTAAAAATGTAAAAACAAAATATATATATATCTAAAGTATTACCATTTGATTGATGTCCAATCAAACTACTAACAAACCGAAAAATATGAAGATTTAGAAAACTATTTTATGCTTTAAAGCTGTGTAATAACTTCTGCTTACATTAGGAAGTAATCGTGTATACTGTCGGCTAATAAAAACAACTGTCACTATTCGCATAAAAATACAGATTGTAAGGTAATCCCTTTAGTTAATTCGATTCTTCGCAATATCCGAGTGATTGATGACTAGGGCAGTATCCCTGGTGGATCGTGACCAGGGCTTTGTGTTGAAATTTGATACACTGCCACTGGCAACTGGCTTACAAGTAAATGACCGTGAACACTGAAATGCGAAACAGATAAGGGTACACGTCATTTGTAAGCGAGGATAAAAATGGGGTAAGGTTGCAAGCTATTAGTTAAAATTGTATTTTTTTTATGAAGAAGACACAAGCATGAGGTACATACGATAGGCGGTCCCCATATCACGTCTAAACAAGATGCACTGTCGGCGTATTTTTGGCTATATAAATTAAAAATTGTATTATTAAGAATATTTTTAAGGAATCATGTATATATACTTTGTATTTGTTGCAATGAAGAATAAAAAAAAATATATATTTGAAATCCAGGTATGGGAACAGTTTGGCTCTTTTATCTGTCTACGGTGGTTTGTGACTCGAGACGGAATTTCAATGTCTCCAAAACTTTCAAAGTCAATAAAAAATTTTTTGAAATATGTTGGAACTGATGAGATTAAAACCAACAAGACCGTCGAATCTAGTATAACGTATTTTTTTATGTGATTCACTCGACATCCAAACAAGTTTTCGAAGATGCTATCTTTATGCTAGGCTTTGGATATTCCAATATAGAAATATATGATTTAGTTCTAATTTATTTTCATGATAGACAAGAAAAGACGCACATGTGATTCACTTGTTGTGCCTCGTCTAGCTTCATTTAAGATTCGCTGTCGGCCTATTATGCTTTTAGACTCTAAAAGCATAATACGTTTCACTATCATACGATGGTTACACAGGATATAGAAATAAGCATGCTGAAACCGTCGAAAATCGAACCAACGACCACTTGGTTAATAGCTATATACATTTAGCGATGTACAAACTACACGGACGAGCTTGTCAAATTAAAATTAACCACCTTAAATAATAATTACGTCCCTGAATATTTACAATTTGCATATGAGAGCTCATATAAATTGAAAAATCGTGTCGTGGCGTATCCTGTCGATACTGTGCTTGGTTCATTTAAATTTTCGATCATTCTCGAACACTGTTTAAAATAATTATCACGTAATTATTTTTAAAAAAAAAGGTTTTTTTATAGATATATATGATTTATAGATTCAGAATGAGGTAAAAAAATATATTACAAGTCGAAGGTTTTACGAGTAACATCATATATAAATAAAACACTTTAAAGGTTTAAAACGGAAAATATAGTATCTCTCCCCGTGACCACGAACCTGCTCGAAACGTTAATAAAAAATAAAATAATGTTTAAGTAAGTTTATTGTATATTGCGTTTTAAACCGTTAAAGTGTTTTATTTAAATCTGTACTACTTGCGTAAACTACAAACTGTATTTGAGTAATAGTATGCTATAGCGATTCCAAAAATATTTCTTCTAAAATCACATCACGAATATCCAAAGCCTATTTTGTCTTTTTAATACCCTCCTCTATCATCAAAAAAACATCTGCTGTTAAACATTGTAAGGAAGTATTGTCAGTAGTTTACGCGAGTACTAAACGTTTAAATAAAACACTTTTAACGGTTTAAAACGCGAAATGTATTAGTTAACTTATTTGCAGTTTATTTTACTTGCAACGTTTTGTGCCAGTACTATTCGAAGCATATGCTCTATAGTCTATATGAACAAATATAATGTGTCAAAAAGTTCTAATTTCAAACGCCAGTCTATGTTCACAAATACATCGAACGTGAATAATCCAAAAGCGCAGTTGACATTAAAAACTCGTTTTGAAATAATAAAAAAGCTGGCATAGCTTGATCGCTTTGTTGGTAAAAAATATATGCACTAAAATATAGTGGGATGTCACGAAATATCTCGATGATAGATGAGCAATATCGATTCAGGACATTTGCATACGATGCACATTCTGTGATATGCACAAAAATTTACGTCCTATCTCCGTGATAATTATCACATTATTTGGTACTAACTCATTGACTGATAACTGTAAAAAGTAAAAGCGTTTTGAATTGGATTGGGTCAGCTTAGAATTAAAATATATCCAGGGAAGCTTGCTTAAAGATCGCGTTATTCGCGAGAGGCGCTACGTTTGCACCTCGAGACAACTGAAAAATACATAAGTTAAAGCACCAAAGTATAATTGTCTGCTAGTCTGCAAATGGAATGGATCAGTAATGTAAACATAGATGTCTGTGTGTGTGTATTCATGCTATACATATCGGGACTTTAAGTAAATTGAAACATAAACACACGAACAGTTAAAGGTTTGAAACGCGATATCTATTACTAACTTTTTAACACCCACATCTCTGTAAGCGCCTCTTTTGCTAAATTTGTTTGTTTATGAATGAAAAGTATCCAAAAACGTCGGGTCGTGTTTAAAAATCAAATAATTCACATATTACGCGTTTTGAACCGTTAAAAGTTTTGCATTTTTTTACGATAGAGGAGGGCAGAGAAACTTGGGGTGGTGAAATAATCCAGCTATAGTATCTAAACCGTTTAGATGCACTATCGACTTATTTTGGCTTTGGATATTCCGAAATCTACTAACTTAAACCGAAACGTGATTAAACTTCACGGCTTTATTGTAACCCGTACGGAATTTTAATATTCCTACCACCCAATTAATATCCAGATTTCCAGACGAAGTCCAACATGTTTCAAAAAAATTATAAATCGATTAGAAAAATCTTGGCCCTTGTGGGGTCGAACCCACGACGTTGATTACTAGTCGTACATTGCTACCATTACACCACCAAGCCCTTAAAATTTTATTGATATTTACGTTGCACATGTGTTAATGCAAAGTGACCCGACACTTATACTTCAAATAATACACCCCACATTAGAGTTCCACCACAACTCCACAACAATCTTTTTTGATGTAAATGGCATCAAAAAAGCCAGCGTTTGCCAACAAATAAGCCAAGAAAGGGAAACATTGTACCGCGAATAAATGAAGCGACACAATGCGTCAGAATACAATTGTGAAAAGACGTGGTCCGTATGTCCCAGTTCGGTACGCGAATGGGTCTGTCCCAGGTGCACAATACGCTGGCAACAATGCATCGTCTATTGCCAACGCCGCGATTGCACATCACTTGACGTGAGTGCTGAATTTTCATCAGATGACAACTAATTGTTCTCGCTGCTCGTCCTACATTTCGTACTTTAAGAATATGTACCAGATTACATAGAAAAATTTAGCAGCTACAAATATGTGTCTCGTATTTAGGTTTTTGTGTGTATTTTTTTTCGTATTTTAATACGCTTACAAGATAAGTCTGTAACTCACAATATTTAACAAAAATATATCTGTTTGTTTTTTTGTGAGGAGCATTGACTTTTTCTAGAATTTTAACTATTCAGATTCTTATAGAAATAAATTACTAATATAAGATATATATTTAATGATTTATTAAAAACATATAAAACATAAGATAAACGTTGAACACAAATGAAAAGCGAAATAAAACAATGTGGATATGGATTTCCTAAAATCCCCTGAATTATCTTCAAACTACGTTTTAGCGACCTACAGACGTTATCTAATTAGAAATATATTCGTTGAGGAAGACACGTCTTAAGGAGGTAAATATTACTGTCAGGTACGTCAGTACTTGACGTGGGACGAAATGCGAAAATGAAGGTAGAAGCGTCAGTTCATTATTGGAATACGAATAGAGTGATGTATTTATTTTATTTAAACAAAACGCTTTAACGTTTTGTTTGAAAACGCGATATATATTAGTTAAAATTGTTTGAAAATTACCTGACGCCTCGGATGCTTTGCTCGGCACGCCACGGCTAGATTAACTAATATATATTGCGTTTTAAACAGTTAAAGTGTTTTTTAAATCTGTACTACTCCCGTGAAATATAGACAGCTTATATTTATTTTTTTTTTTTTTTTATTAAAGGAGGAAATACATGGGTTCAGTGATACTAAAAAGACCAGTTTAATATATAGGTTGTATATATGTTACGATTAAATATAAGTATTGTTTGTGAGTTTTACGTTATGTATAAACTTATAGTTTAAAATTACTATTATTAGTATAAATTGTATTTTATTAATATGTGAAAGTGATGATTTTTGATTTGGTATTTTTTAAAACACTTTTACTTTATCTGATTTGAAAGAAACACCTTTGATATAAAATATAAGATAAAATAATTTGTAATTTTATACCAAAGCAACTAATATTACGTTAATATTCGAATTCCCAGCATTAATCCGGAATTAACAATTATTTGTTTTGACAGCGAAGTTCAAAATCAATCAAGACGATATTGGAAGTTGGTCGCTGTTCAATAAATACGGGGTCTCTGGGTGTTGCATAAATAGGGTTAAATTGGACTCCGAAATCTAGCTACACAGTGACGTTAGACCGTGTCCTTTGGGATCCAGGGGGCGGGAAAGGGGATAAAGTTGGAAACTTCAGAGTTTGCATTGTTGGCCCCGACCACGATGGCTGGACTGAATTCGCATCGAGACTAAATTGGACATGGTGTTTGTGTGTGCAAATTAAATTGCCCACATTTGACTCCATCATTCAGCACTTTCCATCCGCAACTATCGGCGAGTTGAACTTTCCAAATTCATTTAAACATTTTCCAGTCCGATCGGCCGCTGCGAATAAAGAGCTTTTGTTCGTTGAGCATAAAACCTCTTTGACCATCGCAGGTTTTTTTTTGTAGGTATGCCGAATTTTTGGCGCTTTCTCTTTTACTGCATTTTTTTTAGTTAACGTTAATTGTGCGTTTTCCCGATTGATCTGACATGGAATTCGATACTACAGGGAAAAAGTTGTGCTAAAATATGTAAACAAGTAAACTCCTTTAAATTCTTAACATAGCGTACACCGGTGATGTGAAATATTTTACGAAACTGGTATCATTTTACGAAATTTACTAAACGTAAACTTTACCTTAGTATAGTTTGCTGCTAAGTTAGCTAAAGTAGAAATAACTCGACTTATATTGTTTAGTAAACTAGTTGTGCCCGCGACTTCATTCGTGTTGAATATTTATTTTGAGCATTAAAATTTATTTTTGTAAACAACCTCAAACTTCAGCTTTATAAATTGTAGTGTACCCATTCTAGGTAGCCAAGACGTCGTATGATTCCCGTCGTTCTTGCGAGTTGATCTTAAACTCGCAAGGGTTTTTTGTAGATCATCTGAAGATTTATCAATCATAGGTACATTTTTTTTGATCAATTGAAACGGTTCTGCCACGCACGCAACGGAAGCCCACAAGAAAAATATTTTTCCACATGTTCCACTGTCTCTTCACACCTATTGGTCGCATCGTGACTGTAAATAGCCTGAAGTCATTTTCGATAAATGTCGATCCACATATAATATATTTTTTTAAATTCGAGTGGTTCCTGAGATTAGCGCGTTTAAACAAACAAACTCTTCAGCTTTATAATACAATAGATATGATAAAAATGTCACCCACCCTGTCAATTAATGAACTAAAACAGTAGACATCAATGCAATAATATGGTTCAAAGCTACAAAAAGCTGGACCGAATTTACATTTATTATCCATTTATCAGGGTGCCAATATTTCAAAGAGCTATCGGAAATAAGGTGCATTATGAAAACGCTCCAATAAGTAACTTCACGTGTTCCTCCGATAGGAAAATATACGAGCTGAATTTATTAAATGCGATCAGTGGAGGGAACCTGGAAAAGTTTTTAAAGACTCACTAAATAAAACGACGATATATTCCCGAGTTCACCGTACGGTAGAGGCGCAAGATTTTTAAATTAACTCCGAGACTAATGGCGATGCATGCAAATTCTAGGATATATCTATACACTTTTTAAAAGTTCCTCCAACCTCCACGGAACAGGTGGCTGCAATTTTTAAACTGTTCTACAATTTGAGATTGCGCGTTCCCGACTCGAACTTTATCTAACAGCTGATTGCGTCGCCTTTCTTCGAGAAGTATCGTTAGAACCTCTCTTTATTTTTCTTGTTATCTCACTGCGGAACTTCTATCTTACTGGATACAACTTTACTTTGAAACGGTTTATTCAATCGAGATTCAATCGATAACTTATTAAACAATTTCATAACAATCTCGGGGCAATCAATAACTTGTTACAAAATATTGGATTTTGGTTGTTATAATTCGTGGGAATGCGATATTCTTCGCTACGCCGAATATGGGGAGCTATTTTTCATTATGTTTCATATTAAATTATTACACGTTGAATGCCGAAATTTATATGAAAATACGTAAAAAGGCTAAAGGAATGTTAATAACATGGAGTTTTATAGTAATCGTAACCAATGGAGCCTCGGTTATAGGCGCTAAAAGATATTAATTAGGCTTATTTGAAAATATTTTAACTAATATATATCGCGTTTTAAACCGTTCAAGTGTTTTATTTGACTACTCAGGTTTAAATTACAAATTTAATGGAAATTTCTTAGGAGTCGTAATGTTTCTGATACATTCAACAAAATGTATCAGAAATATTACAACAAAAACGAAATTAAAACTTCGTTATCAATATATTAAATCAACCATAGCTAAAATGTGGCATACAACTATTCGTAGACATCGTTTGAGAATCCAAATGATTTAACACAATTAATGAAATGTAACGGTCGCGTAATTTATTTCTTCATGTTGTTTCAACCAAACCAAATGTAATCAAAATCATTTACGGATTGGACAAAAAAAGACATATTTTTGTACCCGCGTCTATACAACATATTTCACTTGTTTATGTGAAAAATTAAAAGCGTCCCGTTTAATTCAAACTATTCAAAATAGTTCCCAATTTTGTATTCCATTAATTATTCTAATTGTATGAGGGACACTGCCTGAAATTCCTATTAGTCAGTTGACTCGTAAATTATAGCGTTATAGTTGGGGCAAACATGGCGTAATCCGAACTCTTGCGTAAAATTAGATATATCCGTAGCTTGCTCATATACAGCAGCACAGTCTTTTGTTTCAGAAACAAAAGCATTCTTGCCTGTGCTGTAACTCAAATGCAATGAATGCAAATGACATTTTTGTTCGAGACTGTTTTGAACTGTCACGCGTTACTGTTTAAATGACAATGTTAACTTAGAGAATAAAACACGATGTTTTCAGGCATGAATACGGCTTTTCAGTGCGTTTGAAATGCATTTTCACGTCATATTAATATTGTTTTAGCGAACACAATGGAACTCGGTTTTAAATTAGATAGAATGAATCTTATTTGTATTTTTCTTATTTAATGTTATTTGAGCAAGGAGGTAAAATCTGTCACTTTAAACAAAGGGATAAAAGAGATTTTGTTCTTCGATAAAAACACAGTAAGTTATAGTTTCAAGCGAGGCCGTCTATTCTGTACGGACGGCAGTGGAAAATCGGGTAGCGTTATAAGTGCCATTTACTTCAGGCGTTTTAAATAAAAATAATGGCGCAGTTAAATTGAAACTCATTTTCGAGTATTAAGAACTCTCCCTCTTATAAAACGTCAACATAACAAATTACTGTTTCCGTTCGCTGTATTTTTAAATTTCGAAATAGAGTGGGAACTTTAATGTCATTGTTAGTTAGTTCTTTTTCTTAACTATTGAACATTCTCTTCTTAATTAATTCACGTCCTTTTTAATTGACCTAAGGCATCTTTTTATCATTGATCTTAATTAAGACAAGTAGAAGTGGTTAACTAGATATTTTTAAAGTAGGTACAGGCAACCTTTTTAACTTTTGCATGTTCATTCTCCATATGTTTTTGTATTTTAAATTAAGAACTCGAATTATTTATTATTATAGAATTAAGAAAAATAATTTTAAAAAGTAATAATATATATATTATATTATCTCTGTGACCATTGCAACTTAGAATTTGTTATCTACATTTACGTATCGTGTTATCAACGGTAAAAGAATTTATTATCTATATAATATATTATATAATTACATATATCTATTTGCAACTCCTCCTATAAAAGTTAGTTTTAGAAAATAAACTCGTGCGCTGCTTTTCAATACTAATAGTAGAAGTCTATGAAAATGAATATTTATTAAAAAACAAAAAAGAGCTTTCCTGTGAGAAAAAGTACTTAATCTTTTTATTATTAAGGCTAAATAAGACATTGATATTAAAAAACTGGGCGTGAATATTTTGTTTGAAATAATTCCCTTTTTTATATATTAATTTTGTTAATCAATCGCTTCCGACAACATATTGTTTTATTTTCATTGAGGAATATTTTAAAAATGTCGTATTCACAAGGTTTGCGTCAAAAGTTTTAACATGTTTACATTTGATTTGACAAATATGAAAAATAATCTTTTAAGGAGTTATTTTTCACCACTTTTTAAATATTGCAATTCTGCTAACCCACTTTATATTTGTATATTATTATAATTTATATGATATTTAATCTATATTTTATGTAGGTTTAATTCAATAAATAATTAATTATTATTGCACATAAGCATTAGTATATTTTTTTATAAATCCGTTCTTTTATCCTGTAGTTATATTTGCAAAAGTTAAATAACCATGTGATATTTTTTTCAGAATATAAAATAAACGCCACTTACTTTTCCAACAATAAATTCCAAATTCACCACACGATCATACGTATTTCTACTGTTATTATTTCACCGTATAATCACGACAATATTAATAGTGTCATCGAATTAAATTCAATGAATTTCCACATCATTAGCGTCTAACCACGTGGATGAAAGCGCGGGAAATCGGAAAATTCGAGCGGCGAAAACCAACCCGCGACACCGACAACCCTCTCAAAGCTTCGGTGTGTACTGGCTGCTGACTGAAGATTGTAGTCCCGGCCAGTATTTTCCCCGTTCACGAACGCTTTTCCTATCCGTATCTGATGCAAAGTAAGTACAAAGATGTACTGACTCGCGCAAAAATATCCCTCCGCAAACTCTCAGCGATCCTGCAAATAAATGTCACATCTACCAGACACGCTTCAGACGTATATTCTGTATGTGCAAATTTGTATTCTAAGCGATTATATTATAGTATTTTTTTATTTATTATCTAAACCAATAAGTTCAGAGGATTGTTCTGAATGCAACAACGGAAAATTTAACCACCCTTCATATTTAAAATTTAAAAATTATAGAACGTTTCCTATTATTTAATAGTGCTTCGGGAAGTCATCTTGGCTTTATTCATTGTTCACGATTCATATTGTTTGACTTAATTGTGACATTGACTTTTTTTGATTGACACTGTATGTGAAATCTCGTTTCCAGTCCAGAATCCCTGGAGAGCACATTTGAATGACAATCTCACTAATCAATTTCTCTTTACAGTTTTGTGCCATGTGCACAAAAACCCAAAACCTCTCGCTTCATGAATTGCTAGGTCTAGTCTAAGTAATAGGCGTAATTATTACTTATTCCTGTCTGTAGTTTACGCGAGTAGTACAAAAAGTAAAAAGATATATATAGTTAAAATAAGTTTAACAAATATATATCGCGTTTCAAACCGTTAAAATGTTTTATTTAATTATTACTTACTATATTAAATCTACTACTGCCGCTTTTATAAATATATCTCTTGTATTGAAAAATAAAAGGTCACAAATTGCAATTGTCTCTGCGCATCAAAAAAGTAAAGACCTTTGTTATTATCATAAGGTCGTTAAATATTCCATATTCATTCAGTATTTTCATATCCATCCCTTTACAGCGTTACGTGATAAAATAAGGGATTGTTTCAGGGCGCTTTTGACTACGTTATGATCAAAGATACATAAAATAATACATGATTGGGCTTACCTGTGCGCCTCGCTTTGACGACGGGTGGTAGCAGGTGTGAAATTATACTGATGAAAGAATATATTTTCCACAGTTTCAAAGGACGTAAACCGATGGATAGACAAATTGCGAATCGGTCCAATTATTTCTCCCCCCATTTGCAAATTTCAACGAACGACCGACGAATTCTTTAATTTGTTATCATTAAAATAAAACGAAACAATTCGAACGGATTAAACGCGATTCAACTCAGAAATTCGAACTGTAACACTCTTTCTTGAGATTGCTAACAAGTCGTTATTAATTTAATTTAATCGTTTTGTAATTTGATAACGACGATAAACTTTTCTCTCTTAATAAAAAATACAACATATTTGAAAAATATAATAATATTTTTTATGTATATCGGTTACCTAATGATCCTTTTTTTAATAAGGGTTCCGCTTTAAGTTTGTTCAGGGTCCCGTAGAAATAAAATACAATGGCATTTTGTTTGTATTAATGTGCCAATGTGGTTAGGGTTACACTCACCATACTGCTCTAGTCTGGTGGTCTGGCCGCTTTTGTGCTAATGGTTAAACACGAGCGTCCTTGCTTCGAATTCTGGGGAAACAATAGATTTAAATAGTACACTTTTACGGTTTAAAACGCGATATATTAGTTAAATTAGTTAAACTTATTTTAAACTTGGCCTGACGTTTCGGTTGCTTTGCAGCAGCCGTGGTCACGGGGAGACTCATGTTCAAATAAGTTTAACTAATATATCATGTTTTAAACTGTTAAAGTGTTTTATTTAAATGTGTACTACTCGCGTAAACTATAGACAGTGTTTAAACAATAGATTGTTTCGGTAAGGCATTGCACAGTAGCCTGCTCAATTCAAGACAAGTTTGAATATAGTATATATAATATAGTTTCTTAACAAAACGCAAAATCTAATAACGAAACCACATTATTCCTTTACAAAAGAAAGTTTATATGAAAGCTCCGTTCCAAAGGAATACAGCGACAAAAGGATATATCAATAATAGCAACTAACGGCCACAGATAATTATACGGAATCAATGCTTCGCGCAAAGCTGGTCCGGATAATAGACAAAAGTGAGTTGGCCAAGAAACAATTTACTTACGGGATGATATTAAGCGAGATAAGAGTATGGTGAAGCACTTTTCAGAAGCGTTTATACAAAGCTATGAATAACAATTTACCAGAGAGCCGAGAGCGCAAACACTCGAGCGTAGAACTTTGTTTCCAAGTGCCTAAATTCACGAACAATAGACGTGGAGCTACGAAATCAGTATAATAGAGTACTTTACGTTTTTGACGGGCGTTGGTCTAAAGGTTGCAATGTATGGTTAATAATCATCGGGTCGATGGTTCGACCCCCACCAGGTCTAACATATTTCTATTTTTTCTGGCACATGTTGGATTTCAAATACTGTCTTTAGTCTACGCGAGTAGTACACATTTAAATAAAACACTTTAACGGTTTAAAACGCGATATATTAGTTAAACTTATTGAAAATGATTTTTAACTTCGGCCCGACGTTTCGGATGCTTTGCACTCCCCCGTTCTCGAACGGTTCTCGAACGTCGAGAACCTCTTCTCGCTCACATCGGCCGAACAGCCCGAAAGACAATGATATGCTGATCGATGGCCGTGAAAGCCTTACTCAATTTACTAAATTTTTTTCTAATTTAGTGATTCATGGTCGTTTTAATTAACATGCTTATAATTTAAATATTTGTACTTATTTATGTGTACCCGTGCGAAGCCGGGACAGGGCCGCTAGTAATTTATAAAGTTGAGCAAATTGTGATGCAAAAAAAAAACTAGTCTTCGCGGACGAAGTCGCTGGCACAGCAAGTATGAGATATAATATGAAATACAAATAAGACTTACAAGTATAATATTCTGGGTGAAGTTTATTTCCTCATTATCAGCGTTCTTGCACGGCTGTTGGGTCAATAGAAAACTTGTTAAACTCTGACCAATTCAACGAGTTGTAAAAACGTCAACTTTAGGGTCTTCGTGAAAAAACATAACTTCGTTCTTTAGGGTTACTTTTTGAGTTAGAATAAAAAAACTGAAAGCGAATCACGAGAAAGTAACTTTATTACAGTCTTTCTCCAGTGGAGCACGACAATGAAAACACGTAAAGTGAGAACAGAATTGCAAAAAAGACGAGATAAATTAATGTTTACCGAATAAAATGAAGTTTCGCGATAAAAAGTTTTAATAAACGAGCGAGTATCATTAACCCAGCTCGTTTTATCATCGAATTAAGTTTCTTGCAATTCAGTGAGTACGGCGAGAATATTCACTTTTAATTAAATAGCCATTTAATCTTCATATAACCGTACAACAGTAGAATACTAAGTTTAATACCTTGTTTAATTCAGACATTGATTTTAGAGATATTTTTAATTTTAATAATCAATCTGTCAATGCTGCAAGGACGCGGCCAGTTTCGCCAAATACCAACTTCCACGGAACAGATGGCGCTACCGTAGCATTTTTACCTTGACGTCAGAGACATCCTCCATCTTTAGTCTCCCCGTGACTTTCGGCCGCAGTTAAAAATAGTTTTCGAACAAGTTTTAGTTTAAAACATATCGCGTTTTAAACTGATCTGTCTACTGTGTGTCTGTCTGTCCTTCATCATAAAAAATATTTTTACAACAATTTTCCGCCCATTTAAATTTCATCCCCGTGATTACTAAAGGAACTAAACGCTATTAATAGTGTTTTGTGTACAAAAACGCATGCTAAAAGCAACATTGCCGCAAAGAAGATACGGACTATATCGCAGCAAAGGGGTTAGCAGAAATATAATTAGCAAAAAGCGTCGCAAAGTAAGACTAAAGAGGGCTTTTATGGGAGTATGTACCCTGGTATTATGAGGAGTTATTTGCTAGCTCGTTAGTGACAGTGCATTGTAATGATATGCAACGTGATCACGTCTTCTTATATGGTTACATAAAGTTACGGTCCTACAAACGCCGTATACAGTATAACGCATTACGCTGCGTCAAGATCTCTACTCTATTGATTATCACATCCTCAAAGAGTATCTTCTAACCCAGACCACAGCTGGCTGAAATAAATATGTGACTCAACATAATATTTTAGTTAATTTGGGTGTGAAGTAAGAGAATATCTCTAGAAAAACATAGCATATAGATTTCCTATAATATCATAGATTTTATTTTGATAAAATATCGATTGAATTGTTGATGAAATTATTATCGTTACTACTATTATATTTTCTTAATAAAGTCATTTTTTTTTATTGAAGTAAACCTCTTGTACCAGATGAAAACGGAAAAATTGTTGAAATAATTTTTAACTTATTTTAACTACGACCCGACATTTCGGATAATTTGCAGTAGCCATTGTCACAAAGGGTCTGTACGGGCTAGCGTCGCGTAACAGTGACTCCGGTTGATTACATTAATATAATATCAATCAGTGAGCTATTGAATGCCTGACCTAGCCATCGCCGGTGTTAGGGCCAGTTATTTGTCAGACATAGTAATCATATATCATATATATTAGTGTGAAATTAAGCTATTATCAACTATTGATTATTAATTCACAAAACAATGACTTGTTGCGCAGAAGCCCGAAAATTATTTTTGTTCTTCGGGCCAGATATACCAGTGACCTTTGGATATCCAGTCTGTGTATATAACTAACTTGAACTTAAAAAAGTCTACTATCTTTCACGTTTTAAGCCGTCAAACGGCTTTTATTTAATTTATACTACTAATAAAAAATATACAACATAGTTTTTTTTTATGTAAAAAAAAAAATAGATTAACTTAATGCATTGTAAATTATTTTCTAGCTGTTCCTTAATGTAACAATGTTAAATATTTGTTTAAACAAAATTGTTATAGTACCTACGTGAACATATGAGGTATAGGTGTTTTAAAATTAAACGAAAACGTTAAATTCGCTCGCATCCGTTTGAACATACATAGAATATTCGCAAAATTCAATTTAAATATGACGGTAGGGAACAAACATGAGGTCAGCAGAATTAAATGACGGACGCCATTTGTCGGGTTTTCGCGCGCATCCTGCCACGGTAGCGGCCAATTCGCAAATTAATTGCTTTCCGATACTATTTTTTGCAAAGCTCCGTCTAAAGTAGGTATAATGGAGGGATTAATAAATTATCGGACGTGAATAAATTGTGTAACGCTCCGTCAACTTTTATCAGTTTAAAGTAAATTTCCTTTGTTTACGTTGACTGAACATATTATGTACCTTTACTAAAAAGATTTTAAATATTATATCAAAACGCTTATAATAACCTATGTGTGTTACTATTAACCGAAAAAGCTTTTCGGTGGTTTAGCATGGAGTTAACATTTCTGAGTATAGATAAATATTTGTTCTAGGTTTGGGGGGGTTTGGGATAGAATCGACTTCTTTTATTTTTTTTATTTAAATATTATAGTAAACGGTTAAAACCAAATTATGAGTATATATATATATAAATTATTGTAACTAT